CTCACACATTCAAGACACGTGAAAGTCTCTTCCTCTGAAGGGTTCAGGTTGTTGGCATGCACAGTGTATCCAGAAGGGCACAACGGATTCTACCTTTATTTAAGCAAGGCTGAGGAATGCAAATTTTTGCAAGTAGGTCACCTTTTAGTCTTCTGCAACCAAATGTTCAGGGAACTAAGGCACGTGATTATCAACACGACAGAGCTTGTCAAGACAGAGTACGTATAAGAACACGTGGCTCTGCTCCACACTGTATTGTGAAACTGCATTTTTAAACTAGCAGAGACTGAAGCAGAAATCCTAATCCCAATTTGGAAAATGATAAAGAAATGCCACTTAAATCAGTGTAAAAGTTCACTTGTTCAGCTCAGTGTTGCAGTCAATTCCCAATACCAAAGCACCAGTACACACATGGAACAGTTTCTGGCCACAAACCCAAGTAAGGAAACTCAAGCCTCCTCATTGTTGGACTCTTGTGTTAAGCCCATGCAGAGCCTTATTAAGGCAAACTCAAAACCAGCATTACCTTGTCACTGGGGCAGGAAAACTCTCAAGAACTCCGAGTCTTTTCTGAAGATTTAAATGACTCATTTTTAAGTATAAAATTGTAAAGCACTTTTCTGTCCATAGAATCTTTGATAAATCTTTTTCAGATGAAGACCAGAAGTGGCTCTAACCTTTCCAAGGGTTGAAGGAGTCATGCTTACTGTACACACACCATCCTGTGATGTGATGTTTGGTGATCTATTGTCCGAGGAAAGAGGGGAAAATAGTTTGTATTTCAACACAAAGCTGCAGCTTTGTTTTCCCCACAGAATTCTGAGCAATATTCAGTGTAATTATAACATTATACTTAAATTAACTCTAAATTATATGATTACGTGCCCAAATAGCCAATCCACATGTTTACAGAAGCACCACCTCCACACTTCACCCAGAAAGAGATGGGAGCAACCCAATCCCAGATCCAAGAGGGGATCTGGGGAAGGAGAAAGACATCGCCACCCCCCAACTTCAGGGTGTGGAGAGGTTGCAGAGGATGAATACTGGGAGAAGTTATCAGAATATTACAGAAGGCACAGGGTGTTGAAAAGCTTCTGAAATTCAGTGTCACAAATACACTGTAGATGCTTCTAATGAATGACAGATGCTGTTTTTCCAGGTTCACACTTGTGACTTCAGAGAGATGCTGAAGTACTGACCATGAGATGGGCATCCACACTTGAGAAAGAGCTCACATCTGGGAACCTGGTCTGGCTTCAAACACAACTGGCCTCATCATGATCACTATAATCAAGCACATTTCAAGGATGTGCTGCCTACACACCTGAAAGAATGGTTAAGTTTTGCTAACATTCTGCAGTGACCATTTGGGGACTCATTTCGAGTAGAGCCAGTATAATGTTCTCGTGTGTACAACCGCCCCACCAATATGCAGAGACAGAACCCAGAAAAGCCCCACCAGGACAAGATAAAAGTTAGTTCAACTGAACAACACTCTTCTAAAATACTACTCTGCAACAGGAAAATGCTGCAGGGAAGCTGCAGCAAAACTAGCAGCATAACTTTGAGCTGAACACGCCTTTTCCTGTCTTCTATAATCTGATCTAGCACTTGCAGACATATCACAGAAGTAAACATGATCCAGAGGTAAATGCACATCCTGCCATACCATCCATGTCTGCAGTTCTGTGCATTAAGGACAAAACAACACAATAACACTCTGTAATTTGCAAGTAGGGCAAAACGTAACTATCTGCAGATCAACAATAGCTGGTAGCAAACATCCAAAACCACCCTACAGTTTTCTTTTAGCAAGAACAAACCTTTAACACATTCAAAGCTTATCGTGCAGCTGAGCTACTCAGCTCTCATCCCACTTTTCCACTGTCAGAGAATGAGAAGAATCCTGGAGACTACTTTAGAATGCTCCTCTGGGCACAACTCTCACAGCAAATGTGAGTTCACAGCACCTGCTGAAGTGAGAGGCAGTGCAGCAGTGTACAACCGTACTCTACTCAGAATTGCTTTCCTCAGTGTTACCAGATAGGCAGCACCAGCACCAGCCACTCCTCAGCTGCCAGCATCTCAGAGCAAGTCCCAGTGAGAACAGCAAACCTTTCCAACCACAGAACTGAACAGCTCACGAGCATAAATACAAAGGTGAGGAAATACCTTGTTAAATCACTTTGCATGTTGTAGAATTGAGTGTGTTTTATCCAAGTAATTTCAGGAGATCTTAACTGGACATCAACTGGCAAGGAGAAATCTGCAATGCTTATTAAAAGTCAGAGAGCTTCAGGCTGATTCAGACTAACTCTGTAACTAATCCACAGACATCGACCAGAGGCTGTAGCAGAAATAAGCTCAGTGCATGAAGGACAGAAAGCTTGAAGTAGACCAGGATATAAAGCTACAGGAACTGACTAAGCTACAGAGCCAAAAGAGTCTTTAGTTAACTGTGTTAGTGGAACTGTCACCTGAATGACTTCAGTTTGTAATAAAATTTGAGGGATTATAATATTAACCACCTGAGAAGTACTGAAGTGGCACACATGCACTAAGCTGTAATTAGTTTCAAAGCACTACATAAGTGACCTCATGAATTCTCATAAATACTGCTGTTAGTGGCCAGAAGGCCCCTATTTTTATACCAAGGAAAATAAATCATATTGACTATCCTCATGACCACTTACATTAACAAAATGAGGAAGGACACTCCAGCAAACAAGGCATGGAAATGCTGATTTCTAATTCCATTAGAACATAACCAAGTTCTGCTTTTCCCCCTCTCATGCTACTATAAAAAGACCACATTGTTTCTTCAGGGTCCTAGCATCATCTCTGGCATTACAAATGAAAGATGATGGAGAAGGAAAACAACATGAACAGCTCAACGACTTCTCACAAACGTGCACAGATCTTGCCAGTATCTCTTTTCATGACATTTGTTGTCCCAGGCAGTTGAACTGGAAGTAAAAAACAGTTTTATTCCCTGTCTGCAATGCTAACAACTTTCAGTCCTGGATCCTTTCTTCAAGAGTCAGCACTCAACCCAAGAGCACTGTCTGTGTCTCCTTCAACTTCTCCCTGTCCTGCCTCCTGACTTGGAGGTACACCCATCACTCCCTCCTTCACTATTTGTGTCTCCCTTCCACAGTACATCACATATCTAAACTCTCTGAACACTCCTTTTCAAAGCCTGCCAGCAGGTATGGCAAAAATCCATACTGCTTCCAGGAGTCTCCCACCTTTCTGCTGCCCACACGGAGCTCTGTCATAGCTTCAGCTGGGGTAAAACCCCAGACTTCATGCTTGGCCAGCACTGCTCAAGCTGCTGCACTCAATACAGCGACATCATTCAGCTGCTTCCTTTTCTTCATGTTTATAACTTGGCATAAATATCTCAGGCCGAGATTTTTAAAGGATTTCGGGAATAGTGCAATATAAGTATAAATAAAGCAGTTACCTTACTTTCAAAATTAGCATTAGGATAGTCGTCAACTATTTAGAGCACTTAAAAAAATACTCTGGAGTCCTGCCTAAAACATAACAAGATCCATACACGATCCAGGACATTATGCAGATTTAGGGATTTCCAAAAGAAAGCAATAGGGTTTTTTTCTGCCTGAAGCACAACACATTCTTCAAATCCTACTCAAAGTGAAACTCTACACAAGCTTCAGTTATGGAAAGAACCTTCTTCTCAGACTCAGGACGATGGAATGGCAATAGGTCCCTTTGCTGCTTCCCCGGCAGTCACCAGCCATGCTTAGTAGAGGCAAGTTTATTTAACAGCTTTTAAACCAGATCACTCCAGCACAGCAACTGTGTCACTAAGTCACATTTGCACCAGAAGCAGAGCAATCACCTTTTTATGATCACCTTGAAGGTGAAACGCAAGGAGCAACAGGTCTCCTTAGAAACACATTACATAGCTGAGCTCACGAGGCAGGTGACAGGCACCTGCCCATCCTTCAATCTCTGCAAGATGTTCCATGATCAGAGCAGTACATATTTACACAACCTATTTTAGCCAGAGCACAATTACACAACCATTCATAATAGCTCAACAGGAGACATCATCAGCTATTGTTCAGATTCACGCTAACACAAAGGTTACTTTTAAGACATAAAAAACACAAAAGCCACTTAGATTCAAGAGACCTACTAGAACAAATTTGATCTATTTTAAGGTTCTCCACCCCTACAAACCCCTGTGCCACTGGCATTTACTACACAAGTCTGTGAATTAACAAACAGCAAATTTAACTCAAATTCTTCACTTCCTTTTGCAGCATTTGCCTGGAAATGGAGCAAAGGGACTTCAGCTGTCACAGGGAGTTAAAGCTCCAGCTCAAAATTGAGACATGTTTCTCCTTCCTTTCCACCACCACTATAGAGCTGCATTCTCCATCTCAACACCACTATTAACCTCTATATCCCATCTTCACTTGAGAACCTGAATATAACAAAAATTTCATTACATGAGCATGAACACAGACATTCAAAATTAAACAGGAAGTATATGGAGGGAATGTTTGCTAGATTGCTCAAACTGGAATAGAGAAGGGAGTGGTTTTTAAATTCTTCTCATTAACCCATGCATATCTTTTCTTAAAAATCACATTACTGTTAAGTCTTCCTTTACTGCAAACCATGTTTTGTGTTGTTTTTTAAGTCGATGCACTAGTTCACAAAGGAAACAATCGTACGGTAAAAACACTACAGACATACAAGCTTTGTTACAGAACATAAAAGCCCTCCAGACCTCTGCTTTCTCACATACGAAATGAGGACAATTATGTCAGAAGCTCTTTATTCTTGTTCTGTAAAAAAAGGGTAGGGAAGGAACTAAATGCATCTGTTTGCAATACTGCAGCATAACAGTGTACTATTCCAAAAGGCTTTAGATCCATGAGGAGGCCACTTGAGCTGTGTTGTATGCACTCACACAAGAATCGTACACACTCAATTCCAAATACAAACACTGAACTTACCAGCTGGAACTCCCTGCGCCGGTCGTATGCGTGCTGGATGCCACTGTCAGCCCATAGGGCTCGGATGGCTGGCAGGTACTGCAGGAACACTGCTGTCTCCACCATGCCCTGCACCACTGAAACCGAGCGGGTGTCAAACGCCATCATCGTGTCTCCGTTACTCTGGTTCGCAGGATCACCCCAGGGGATATGAAGTTTCTCTCTGGCATCCACAAGGACTCTCACACCTTTAATAGGATGAAAGAGCGCTGCAATTAGTTTCTCAGCATCTACTGTTTCAGTAGCCTACAAACCTGCAGAGATTCAGACAATGCCCTTACTCTGTACAGTCAAAGCTCAGTGGGACTCTCCACCCAGGAGGAAATCACGAAGTTTCTGAACAACTGACTCTAAGCACTATGCTTTCAGGTAATATCAAACCTCAGATACTTACTATCCGAAAAACAGGGCCATAGCCAACAGTATAACACCCACAGCACAAGTTTAACCCTTGAGAAAGTGCTGGTTTTAATTACTAAGCCCCCAATCTGTGCTACCAAACAAACACTTTTGCCTGGCACGAAACAACTCGAAGTATATTTAAAAGCTTATTTCAGAATATGTCAACCCATCTGACTGTGTATTTCAAGGCTCCCTAATCTCTGTATTCTTATGAGCATGGTATCTAGTTATCTCAACCTGTAGACGGTTATCGCTGCCTTTAATATTTACAGAGATATGAACACAATATTTACTAAATCATTGAACTCTCTAAAAGTTTTTTTTCCTGCTTACATGCAAAAGGAGTTGTATCATTGAAAGACTTCCCTGCACTTGTTTTGTTGCTGTTTTGGCAGATATTCCCTATGAGAAATACAGTATTTTAAACTTCTCTTATAAAGGACTTTAAAAAAGAAAATATCACAAATAAGAAGCAACTGTAGAGGCATGGGGAGAGTGTAAGGAAATTAAGGTGCAGTAACAAGTGACTGTATACCAACACACTTGTTTAATACCAAAGTGTTTTTTCAAGCTTCTTTTCCTTGCCATGACTTTTCCATCTGTCAAACGCAGTGACTGCAGGGAAGCAGCCTTCAAAAGACAGCTGTAGCTCCTAAGTGTATACTTCCACAGAGTAGGAAGCACCTTATTTTGCTAACAATCTGTAACCTGGTCAACACAGGTTGCTCGTGATTCCTACTGCCTTGCTATTTATAGCTTCCCCAAGCTTGGTCTGCAACCAGCTTTGTAAACCAACCGTCTTTAAGAATCACTGGATCTCAGCCCCCTTCACGAGCAGGGCTGAGGTCTGACATTGCTTTGCTGTTTCAAGAAACTTAGTTGAAACTTTGCCCAACCATTACACAGTCCAAACTGATAAACTGATGAGCGATTTCGACGAGAATAATAAGGTAAATGTGGCCGATTCAATACGGATGACAGCAGTGAAATGAAGAGCCCGCTCCTAAACAATGCATGGAGGTTTCAGCGATGCATTTATGACCCTTGGTGCAGGTTTAATCGTGGTTTCCAACACGATGGCAGCTTTCTTCCACCGCAGCGAAACGCTTCCTCCTGGAGCGCAGGACGCGTCCCATCCTCCGGCACTTTCAGGTGCATCTCGCCCCCATCCATTACCGCTCATCACCGCGATCGCGTTACCAGGAAATGGCACCGCTCGGGACCTCCCGGGCTCAAACCGCTGCTCCCGCCTGGGGGCCGCGCCCGGGCCGCCGCCTCTCCCCCCCCCTACACCAGGGCCGGGTGACACCCCGCGGAGGGCGGCTGCCCCCCGAACGGTGCCACCGGCAGCGCGGGGCCGCTCCTCCTCCATGAGGGAAAGGCCGAAACGAAACCACCGACCGAGCGGGAGGAGGCAGCGACCCACCGGGCTGAGGGAGACGAGGCCGGCCCCCCCCAACCCCGGCCGGGCCTGGAGCTTCCCGGGGCTGCCCCTTCGCCTCTCACCCACCTTTAATCACGTTGCTGTAGATGGTGGCTCGGAACTCCTCCCGGGCCGCCCGGTCCCAGTCCTGCCCATGGATGATCCTCATCTGCTTGAGGAAAGTAGACTTGCCGCTCTCACCCGCTCCCAGCAGCAGGATCTTGACGAGGCGCTTCACGTAGGTCTTCTCGCGGTTGAGGCACTTGTCGATCTCCTTGGACTTGCGCTGCTGCTCGGCCTCGCCGCTGCTGAGCAGGCAGCCGGGGAAGCAGCCCGACAGCACGGAGCGCGACGGCAGGAAGTCCGCCATCTTAGCGAGCACTGCCAGCGAGGGCAGCGCCCGCTCCGCCGCCCCGCGCATGCGTGACAGCGCCGCGTTCCCGCCCTTGCGCAGGCCCCGCCCACTGAGGAAATGGCGGGAGCGGGAGGTGGTTGTGGCCGTTCCGGTCGCGGTCGGTGTCGGGGTCTCTTTAACGTCTGCAGCCAGTGCTTAATGTGCGGTCACTGAGGGGAAACTGACCCCGTTATGGTGGGTCCTGTGCTCTGTAGGGGTGCTGACAGGCGAGAAGCCGCGGGGAAGGGGAGCCGTCGGTCGTGGGGGGCAGGATGGAGCTTGCTAGCTAAGCAGTTTTCTGTTCCCGGTGCGAGCAGTTTGGTTAGGAACGCGTTGAGCCGCTCGGCGCGGACTTCCTCTTTGCTGCTCCGAGCTGTGCAGGGCTGCAGGGTGGACAAACAGCGGGTCTGGGCCTTGGATGGGGGCTGTGTACAGGGTGAGGGACACTGCAGTTTCCTATCCAAGTTAAATGAAGCAAAGACAGTATTTTCAAGTGCTTAATAATAAAGACAGGTGTCTCTTAGGGCTACCTGTGCTGCCTTCCAAGGAGGCTTCCATCTCTCCTTGGTCGTCTGCTGGTTTTGTCCTTTTCCCTTCTCTTTCCCCTCTCGCTGCCTGGTGTCTCTGCTAACACCTCCCTTTGGTCTCTCCCTCCAGCTGCCCTGTACAAACATCATGTTGCAGCCTGCTTCCTGCTGTCCCTGTCAGCACATGATGGTCATGTCACGTATCCAGCTGCCCACATCACCCAAGGGTTCGGTAGTCGCTGGCTTCCTCTTCCCTGTGTGCTACAGATCGGGAATCATAGAATCACAGAATGGTTGGTAAGGACCTTAGGATCATCCAGTTCCACCCCCTGCCATGGGCAGGGACACCTCCCACTAAACCATGTCAGCCAATACTTCATCCTACTTGGCCTTGGGATGAAGCATTCACAGCTTCCTTGGGCAACCCATTCCCGTGCCTCACCACCCTTACAGTAAAGAACTTCCTCCTTACATCCAATCTAAGCTTCCCCTGTTCAAGGGTTGTTCCTGCACTGAGGATGATTCTGTTCCCTGGAGAGGACACTGCCGTGGGCTCAGCGTCGTCCAGCTCAGCAGGGGAAGCTGAATTGCTCTGTCCTGGCTCAGGTGTTACCCAGCTGCATCCTCTGCCCCAGCAGCCAGGCTTCATCTCTAAGGCAGGGTGCATAAGGTCTCTCTCTGTTTTGCTTTGTTCCTTCCTCTTTGCCACTTCTTCCCTTGGCTTTCCTGTCCCTGGAAAGTCCAGGAGTGACGGGAAGCAAATGCTGCCCATTGCTACTCACAGCTCTTCCCATGGGGCTGCTAAGGAAGGTTCTTACTTTGAGTGCTTGTGCCCTACCAGACATGACAGTGGGCTCTGGAGTTACTGCTTTAACTGCCTTGCTGAGGGACCTGGGATTCAGTCATGTCTCCCTCTGTGCCACACTTTGCACTATATATATATATATAGTTTATTATAGTTATATATAGTTATATATAGTTAATATATATATGGCAGTTTACCTAACTGCTTTGAAATCTTCCTGGAAGGAACTGCATACGGAAATGCAGCCCCTGCTCACCATGCTTGCAGTACCATTTGTTGCTTCACTTACGTTACTCCTTCCTTCCCCTCAGGGTTGTCCCCAGTTTCCTTAGATAGAAAGGTAGTTTACTCACCACGCGCCTTTTGTGTTGCATGATTCAACTTCTGGTGTGTGAAAAAGGGGCAACCACGTAGGAAATGTGATCTTTACAGACAGGAGGGGATTCCCTCTGCAGTGCTTCCTACAAGAGAAACTGATAAGAATTCTGAGTGAGCACAGCTCACAGGGGCTTCACCAGGAGAGCAGAGGGACAAAATTCAGCTGCCACAGGGTGCCCAGAGAAGCTGTGGCTGCCCCATCCCTGGCAGTGTTCAAGGCCAGGTTGGACACAGGGGCTTGGAGCAAGCTGCTCTAATGGAAGGTGTTCCTGCCTGTGGCAGGGGTTGGAGCTGGATGAGCTTTAAGGTCCCTTCCAACACAAACCAGGCTGGGATTCTATGATTATCTGGGTGTAGAAAGGCCAGAACTAACTTGTGGAGCCAAAAATCAGCAGGGACTTTGCACGGCTCTGCTGGTGCTCTCTCCATTCTCCCCGCAGATAGTCCCTTACTGTCTTGATGGACAAATTCACACATCGATTAGCCAGACTCTGTCAGGGACTGGAGAAGCATTTCCTTTCCACAAGTGTGGGTTTGTGATTAGAGCCCAGGGGTGTCTGCCCTTTACAAGCCTCTATAATCTGATTTAAACACCTCGTGCTTCACGTGGCAGATCTGCTGTAGAGCATTAACTGCTGGGATGTTTCCCCTGGGCAGCAGGTGAAATGTTCATCTCTGATCCTATGTTCAGTGCTTTGGGTCATTTGCAGATGTTAAGAAAGCTGAATTTACATTGGAGATCTTCTGTAGCAGACATGGAGCAGCTTGGCGATGGAGAGAGAATTACCCATGGGCTTTATTTTAGCTTGTCTGAGAAGACTAGAAATCGAAAAAAAACCTCACCTTCATCTCCAGGGGGTGTCCATAGGGATCAGCAGGATTTAAAATCACTGGGAGCTTTGGAGCTCAGCAGGGTTGAAGAGCTCACACATCAGCTTGAGCTCTGCAGAGCTACTTCTTCTGGGTGTCCTGAAAGGAAATGTTCTTTCTGAATGTTTGCAAATGTTTCTATCTGGTAAGATGCCTCTATTCCTCAGTGGAGCTTTCAAAGTCAGTATTTTGGGATGAAATGACCATTTTTATTCCTTTAAGTACATGGGGCACATGCAGTTGTTGGTGATTGAGCCTTTCCTTAGGTCAGCACCTCACTTGAAGGACTTCTGAGTCCTTCCACCCCCAGGACAGTGAATGACAAGAGCTGCTCAGAGGAACCAGTGTAGTTTATAACAAGTTCTCCCAGTTTCCCTCCCAAGCCAAGGAACTGAGCTACATCTTTCTATGTGCTGTTTACCCTGGTATGTCCAAAAGAATTACCTGTATAGAGATCCCGTTCTCCTGCCAGTGTCTGTCTCTCCTAGAGATGAAAGCACTTGTGTTAGCTATCATCACTAAAAAGCTTGTGTGCCTTCACTGTCCTTTTCTTTCCTTCCTCTGACTCCACTCTGAATTCCCTCTCTCCAGCTCTTTGCCTCCAGCACTGTCCATGTACCAGAGTTTGTCACCTTTGCTGTTTCAGAGAGCCACTGGGATCTGAGCTGGGTTCAAAGAACCAAACAGCACCTTAGCACTTGAACTAGGAGACAATTCTGTTCCTTTTGGCTGCCAGCTGATGCCTTGAAGCATGAGATATGGTGGCCTTGATGCTAACATGTGGCACGACAGAGGTTACTTGCAATATTTAACTCATGGAGCAAAGAAGGGTGGAAAAACTGTGGCAGTGTCTGATGCAGCAGCTGCTGTGACTCACGGGGGGATTCCACATGGGAATGACTGAGCAGACACAGGAGGAAGGCCTTGCAGAGCACTGCCTTGAACAGAGGGATGAAAGAGCAGAGAAAAAGATGAAACACTTCCACAAGGGCAACAAAGCGACTGGGAAAGCAGCCCGTGCCTTCCGGGTATTCCTGTGAATGGAAAGAGTGCTCTGCTCCATGTGCTTTGCTCAAGCATGCAAACCATGTGGGACATCAGAGCAGTCACAAACACCATGGTGGGAGGGCACTGCCCTGAGAAATGGCTACATGTGGGTTTGGGAAGTGTGGGTGACCTGGAAACACGGATGTGTGTGATGGTGTCAGGTGGGATCTGCTCATGGAGAGTGCGGCACGAGTGCCTCCTCACTGCATGAACACGTGGCACTCTGTGCACCCCGGGGTGTGAGCACACACTGTGTGTTCCCTGTGCAGGGAGGTACACACACACTGTGGGTAGGTGCGTGATGTGCAGAAGGCAGCATGCCCACATGGCATTCCCAGGAATGCCCCCTACAAATCCTGGCACAGTTACGCTCTGTGAGTGAGGACCCAGCACTCTTCTTGCTGTGCTGTGCTGTGCTGTGCTGGCAGGCTGAGCCCTGTGCTGCAGAAGGAAATCCCACCATTTTCCGAAGAAACCAGGAAAAGGGAGCTTTTGGTTCCCAGTGCTGCTATGGAGGTGAGACAGCCCCGTTGTGGGGAAGCACTCTAGTCCCGTGGTCTGCCTCTGGTCACTGTGAGTCACAACTTCCCACTGTGGGATGTCACAACTTCTCACATGGCTCTGCCATGGTACCAGCTCCCCAGAGCCACCTGTCTGGCTCCTGCGCCCACTGCCGCCCCAAGCAGCATGCACGGAGTAGATGTTGCAGCACTGCTGAGTCCCAGCCACCGGGACTTGGGCACCGTGGGCCTTGGGGGGCCCAGCTCCGACCAGGAGCGCTTTAGGGAGGATTCTCCCCTCTCCAGGGGAACGAGTGCCTGCTCCTGCCTACCACCACCTTTTGTAAGGGCCGTATCCAGTGTCACTAGTAAGGTTGGCTCACCCGCGTAGCTGCAGGCACCCAGCACCTTCCAGAACGACTTTACAGCTCCATCAGCCCCGTCTCCGGCTCCTCACCTCGCTCCCAATTCCAATTCCCAGCCCTCTCCTGCCCCGCCTGCCCAGGCCCCGCCCCTGGCCCCGCCCCTGGCCCCGCCCCTCCGAGCGGGCTCCCCCTAGCGCCCAGACCGCCTCCCGCACCGCCCTACGCCTTCATGCAAATGAGCGTGTGGCGGCGGGTGCTGATTGGCTGCAGCGCGCAGCGTTGGCACCGCCCCTGACCGGGGGAGCGGCCGGTGGCGGGTGTCCGCAGGCAGGTGAACCTGACCGGGGCCGCCGTTCCCCGGGCCCGCTCCGGCGCCATGACCGTCACCCGGCTGGACCAGGGGCAGCGCCACCGGCCGAGGATGGCCTTCCTGAAAAAGGTGAGGGCTGGGCAGCACCCCGGGGGCTGCATCCGGGCGGGGCCATGCGGTGCCCGCTGCTCCGGGCCGGGGAGACCCGGTGTTCACAGCGCCCCGCCTGGGCACGGCTCCCCGCGGCCCCGGTGGATGTGCGAGGGGACAGCACCGGCCCCGGGGCTCTGAGGACACGACCTGTTGCAGAGCCCTGTGGCTCCGGGGTTCAGGCCGGGGTCTGGGGGCCAAGGTGTGAACTGGAGGAAATAAACCCGTAATTTTTGTGGCTCAGTCTCGGCTGAGTTATTCTCCTGATACATTTCCTCCTTCTCCCATCCTTTCCCCCCCCTCCCAAAGACCCTCAAAACTGCATTATTTCCCAGGGGAAGCCCCATCATCTGCAACGCAGGGCCCCTCGGCTTGGTCCAGCATTCCCGAGGCTTGCAGCTGATGTGCATCCGCTTTTTGGGCTGTATCATGGCCAAATCATTTCCCACTTTTTCAGAAGCACTGGAAGGAGTGGGCTGGTGTTTGCCCACGCTCTGGGCTCGGGTGTGTAATTTGTAAAGCAGTTGGTGTTTTTCCATAGGGTTCATTCAAAAGCGAAGCCAGTTTTAGTACAACCGGTATCAGCAGTGCTGAGCTTCCCTTCCACCCACCTCCTGCCTGTGGCTTATCCTGCTCAGTGGAATTAACTGAATTTCCAGTGACAAGGACAGCCAGTTGCTGTTGGAGTTGTAGCTACCTCTTCTGCAGCGCCCATGAGCCAATGGGGAAGGTTCAGGCTCTTCGGTGCTAAGGCATGATCCTAGCGATACAAGCACTGTACTCTTCATGGGAGGGGAGGTAAAGGAGGTGTTTTCTTCGGTGCTGTGTCTTTGAAGGTGCTGTGCGCTTTGGGAAACAACCCCAGCAGCAGTTGTTGCAGTCTTTGCAATGCGCTCCCGAGTTCCTCAGGTGGGAAAAGCTGTTAAGACGCGGGGAGTTCCTCCTAGGGAGCATGCACCGCTCACAGTGTGAGCAGCGAGAGGCTTGGGTCGTCCTGGTGCTCAGACTGTTGTTAGCGCTGGGAAGGGAAGCTCTGGGCTGGCCGCAGAAGGTTTTAGGTCTCATCTCTGCTTTCATTCCTCCTCTGGTTTTCCAGACCTTAGGGAAGCTGTGTATGGATCTCCTGTTCCGTGGCAGCATGGACAACCACATCCTAAAATACAGAGCATCTTTGCTGGTTGCCTATGGAGGGAGCTGAGGATGCTCAGCATGCATCCAGTGAGCACCTTAGATCCACAAGGAGCTAATATCCTAGAGAGAAGCTTTCTTAGCTGCTGAAGGCTGTGCTCCAGCTTTGCCAGCAGCTGGCCCGTTGCCGTAGCCATGGGTTGGCTCCAGTACACAGAGGGATTCCTGCTGTGCTGCCTCTCCAGATGTGGGGACAGGAAAGGGGTTTGCTTTAGGAATGATGAGCAGTGCTGGGTATGTGCTGTGAGGCTGCTCGGCGTGGCATGGGCTGGATGCAGAGCTTCATGGCTGACCCATGAGGGGATCAGAGAACCCCCTCTAAGGCCCAGCAATGCCTTCTAGTCCATGATATACTCATAACTAACACTTAGGTTGGTTTACTCTGTTTTTCTCCTCTCCTGAACTGTCTTGGTAGGAAGAACATTGGCACAGAAGCCTGTTGAAGCAGGGAGGAAGCCTCTGAAATCCATTTGGGTTGTATGCACGTGGTCAGGTGCTGGCAGAGCTCAAATCAGCCCAACCTCTTGGTGCTGGTGTCTGCCTCAGCAGCCAGGATCCGGCCTGTTGGGCATCAGCTGGTGGAGCAGGGCTGTGCTCCCCAGTGGCTCTGTTTCAGTACAATCTGTGTGCTTTTCCTCGCTGTGCTCCAAGGGCTGCACATGACTCATAGCTCGTGAGTAGGGCTGATGCATGCCACTTGCCTTTTTCCTCTGCATCCTCCTTACACTGGTCACTGATGGCAGCACCGCAACTGGGCAGGGACCAGTGGGGTCTGCAGCGTGGCTGGGGGCTTCTCCAGCCTGGCTTCAGTCTCACCAGGCTTCTCTGTTTCAGCATTAGTGTGACGCAGACTTTAAAACCAGCTGAAAATCAATCTTTACTGTCAAGCCCAGAGCGCATCCTGTCACTACAGGCTTAAACCCTCACTGAGCTTGGCAAGACTTGGGGTCGAAGTCACTGTGGTGCCTGTGAAGACAATACCCTCCATTATGTGTGAGTGTCAGCAAGTCACCCTCGTTAAATCCTCTAATCCTTGTTAAAATCTACAGCCTGGCCCCAAATGAATGTGCAGAGAAACAGAATTGGTCCTGTTGAACTGGCTTTGATTTAGTATCAAATAATAGCAGAAGACAAAAAGAGCATCATCCACAAAGCCAGGTCATCTAAAATGAGGAGATGAGGAGCATATTCCAACTCCAGCTGTTTTAGTGGAGCATCCCAAGTGCAAGCAGGAGGCTGCTGTGCCTTTGGGATGCTGCCAGTATGAAGTCAAATGTAAGAGGAGGAAAATACCTTTGAAAACCTTCATATTTAGAAATAAAAGGTAATTTGGAACCAGAAATAGAAGAATTCTCGCCCTGAGGGTGGGACTCATCCTTCATAACATGATCTGTTAAAAACAAGTCATCAGCATCCCTCAGGGCTTCCTGATGGGATGGAGGATGCTGCCAGACAGGGGGAGGAGTTGCTCCGAATAGTGTTTCTCTGCCCTGTCCCAGAGGGGCTGAGCTTTGCTGCCCACAGTCAGGGCTGAGGCGTACTGCGTATGTTCTTGGTGCATGGTGCAGTGTCTACAAGTGCACAGGTGGGGTATTTGTGCAATAGAAGCACAGCTTGATTTCTTCTTCCTTAGTGCCCCAGCAAACAGCCCTCTGCACCAGAGAAGAACGTTTATGGGTAGCAGAGGTTCCTTTCTCATAGCTCAGCTCTCATGGAGTGGTTATATCCTGTCCCTCATCTGCTAAACCTGTGCTTGTGTCCCCTGTAGGAGGGGGAAATGGCACTGTGAGTCAGCGTGAGAGCTGGCAGGGTTTGGAGGTGGCACCTCTAATGGCAAGGGGAGGTTCGGAGAAGACTGTGGCCATTGCATCTGTTTCTGTATAACACCACTGCACATTACTCTGGGGTGCTGCCCAGAGCTGGGGTGGTCCTGGGCCTTCTGTAATACATCCCATCTGCTTCCTGCTTTGCAGATTGAAGCTCTTATGATGGAGATGCAGAATCCAGACACAGGCATCAAGACGCAGATGCAGAAGGTGATGGTCACCGACATCCCACATGCTGTGGCAGGTAAGAGCTGCACCAGGGGAAAGGACCAGGAAGTCCATCAAAGAAAGGCTGTGTGAGGACCCTGTGACCACTCCAGGGTTACCACTGCCTGGATGCATACTGGTTATAGCCCAGTAAATACTTGCTGTACATCCTTTGAGCCATGCCTGCTCCCTTTATCTCATTCTCACTCCTGTCTCATCTCACTCCTAGCTCTTTGAATCAGAGACACACAAAGAGTGATAATGCACCCTCTTAGCTGTCTCATGTGAGTTTAACTCAAGTGACCTTGCTTTTGTTTAGTACAGAGGTGAGTAGGTGCTTCAGCCTCCAGACCTGTCATATTCCCAGTGAGGCTGAATCACAAATCAGGATAAATAGAAGATCTAACTAAAACAGGCGGCCTGGAGTCAGGCTGAAAGAGGGTGCTTCAGGAAGGAGCAATAAACAATTAGTCTCCCCTGTAAAGTTTTCTGCTAATAATAGTTCTCCTTCAGTACACAGGCAAAGAACAAAATACTCAGCCCACTTTTCTGCCTGTAAATGACCGCTCTTCCTCCTTCAGGCAGGCAGGGAGCTGTGCTGCGTCATGTATGGCATTACAACAGCTCTTAGCACAGTCTCCTTTCACAGGGCATTATCACTGCCTCTGCTTCCCTGTTCTCCAGCCCTTGTGAGGGATCCTTCACTGTAGATACTCAGAGATGCTGTAGCAAAGTTCCTTCTTTTTACTCTGGTCTTTCTGCAGCCCTTTAGAACACAAAGGACAAAATCTCTCCCTGAAAGCAGTGATTTTGGTCCAGGTGACTCCGGATACAACTTGGCCAAATAGATTCTATTATCCCTGGCTGTCAGTGAATAGTTAAGGCAGCACTGCAGAGAAGCTTCTTCTGCACTGAAGATGATGTGCCACCTCAAATAAGAGCAGGGAACAAGCAGTTCTCCTGATGTCTGACCAGTGTAAAACACCACTTCCTGAAAGTCCATGGCTGGCTGATGTAGAGGGAAGGTGCCTGTTGATGCTCATCCTCTTTGTGTGCTGTCCGCTCAACCAGAATTGCTGCAAGTTCCTTCTTGCATAACTCCTGAATTGCAGTCAACTTCTCATAGACAAGGGAGTTCCAGTCTCTTGGCGTGGTGCTTATCACTCTAAACGATGATATTTTTAGTGCTGTTCAAGCTGTGTGTATATATATATATCTATAACATATATATATATGTATATATTGACCTCTGGGTGTTGCAAAAACAGTGACTCATGTTTAGTGAGGGGGTGGTGAAGACATCAGAGCAGTGGACACAGACCCACTGAAGAGAGTTTGTCTCTTCCTGCCAAGTGGTTAAATTCAGGGCAGGGAAATGGCTCACAACAGAAAAGACCGAGTTAAATGTGCACCTTTAGGGGAAAGTGCTTGCAGAGAGCACTGTCTAGAAATGAGGGATGAGATAATCCTTTAATTTCATGTATTTCAGGAAGCAGGTGGCAGGATAAGAGCCCTGAGCCCCTATTAGAAAGTTAAGTCAATGTCAAGAAAGGCCAGCACCTCGGTCTGCAATCCTGGAGGATGTTTGGAGGAAAAGGCCAATAACTGATCAGGGAATAGTGCACTTCTGCGCTGTTTAAATGGAAGGAGGGTGCTGGAGGCTTGGGTCTGACTGGTCACACTGCAGCAAAAGAACTGGGAGAGAAAGTGTGAATGGAGAAATCTTTGCTGTGTCCTTTTACCACTGCAACTTGGATCTGAGACTTGGACATCCCTTCTGCTCTGAAAGTCATGTCCCTTAAAGGATTCCCCAGGACCTGTCACTGTTCTCATATTCAGAGTAAGACAGGACCATGCTCTGTGGATCTGGAGACACTGCAGTGAATCTTTCAAACAAGGGGCATTTCACCTTCCTTGGGTGCAGAAGCTGTTGCTTTCTAAGCCAGTGCTGAAGGGTTAAGTGTTGTTGCTCAGGCCACAATGTGCTTCTGCACACTCATCCCCAGCTCACTGCCTGCCTCAGGCTTCTTCTCCCAGGGACTGATGCCTTGGTCAGGAGAAAGCCTGGGTGGCAGCAGGGCCAGCGAGAGCAGCGCTGCTCTTTTATCTCTGCTCTTTATCTGCTCTTTATCACTTCTCTTCCATGGTGCATTTGAAAGCGTGTCTGCAAGAAGGGGTCATTGGGACCCAGAGCACAGGGAGAGGTGAGGACTGGAGAGGGCTCGTTTCACTCATGATTTCAAGGAGCTGACATGTTCTTTGCTTTGCAGGTAATGACATATTGCAGTGGATTCTGCAGCGCCTGCAGGTCACTCAGGAAGGTGGGTAGAAATGTAAAACTTGAGGCTTGGAGCCCTAAACCTTGAAGGTCTCCATAGACAAAACCTCTCAGATGAATTCCCCCCTCCCCAGTAGCAGCTCACTTTTAGGTTCCAGTGCAGTGTCCATGTGCAGTCCAAACATCTGCCTTCTCCCTTTGCAGAGGCACTCCACCTGGGGGACCTGTTTGTCAAATATGGATACATCTACCCTCTTCAGGAGCCAAAGAACCTCACTCTTAAGACAGATGGAAGCCTCTACAGGTTTCAAGTGAGTTGCATCTTCTGTAAAGTCTTAGTCCTGGGGCCATGCTGTGTAGCCATGCTCGTCCGGTGTGCAGGAGGAAGGGATCCACAGAGCAGCCTCAGGCCAGTTCCATATGTCAGATTATGGTTATAGGGAAACTCTCGATAGTTCCTTTAACTAAATCGGTGTATTTGTTCTACTTCAGAATATCTCTGCTTTCTTCCAAGTGTGTGTTCCCTTCCAGGTCTTAAAGTAGCAAATGGATTTCCTGGGTGAAAACAGAATGATCTGGGGAGACTGAATGATGAATAGACAGAAAGCACAGTAACAACAGGATGTTATCAGTGTTCATGGTTGGACTGTTCCCACTATGATGGGAAATTAGGGTACCCTTGGTACTTTGAATGAGGAGTCTGGTTCCCACATGGTGCCAAATCAGGCTCCAGCATCTCAGTGCTCAGGCAGCAGCAGGAGGTTGGCCACGTGAACCTGTTGCAGAGCAGGAATGGGTTGACGTTGGCAGTCTGCTGGGCTCAGTTCTGCTGTGTCTGGTACCACTGTGAGCTGACACGCAGCGATGGAGCTGAAGCTCTGAGTGCAGCAGAGGAGAGCTGTCCTCTCCCTCGGTGTTGTGTGAGTTCCAGGCTGCTAATGAAAGCCTTGTTTTCCTGCAGACCCCTTATTTCTGGCCTGCACAGAAGTGGCCTGCAGATGACACAGACTATGGTAAGTGACAGCACTGCGTGGTTAGGAGGTGTAGTGCAAGCACACAGCCCTCCACTGTGTTTGCTGTTCACCTTTGTGCTGTGTGTCTATGTGCTATGCCCTTCCCTTGTATTTTCTTTCGTACTCTTTCATGAGTGATTCCCAGTACTTTGAATTGAGGGAACACTCTGGATGTGACCACCTTGGGTGGCCTTGATGAGAGAAAATGCTTAAGCTTCTCTTACGTTCCACTGAGCTCCATCAGACTGGAACCCATCTGAAATACTCTGCTGGGCAGAGGAGACTTTAAACACAAGGTTAGATTTCCTGAGTAGTTAAGTGTATTCCTGGATCTGAGCCCAAGACTTCCTGTTGATTTGGATCAAGTCCTCCCTTCAGAGATGGCTCTTTCTTTATATAGTGCTCAGTGGCTTCCAGTATCTCCTGATGGCATTTTCCATATCAGTTGCTTGTTGCCTTTATAATGCTTTTTATTAGAGGTCTGGTCATGAAACTTGGTTTGCTCATGCGGGCTGTGCAGCTCACAGACTGATTCGCTTGTACCAGGGTTGTCCTCTGTTGCTTTTATCTACATATGCTGTAGATCTTCTAGGGAAATAGAAAAGCCTGGTTTAATTTGGGATGCTTTTAATAGAACTTGGAGCAAAACACTGGCTGGTGTTGGGAGAACTTGGATGCCAAACTGTGAAGAACATCAGCATTTAAACATTTGGTCCAGTATCTTTTGACCTGTGAGACCTGAGTTCCTAAAGGAGGCGTGATGCTGGCAGAGGCACACACAGCCCATTCTGTGTCACTGCCTCCTGAAGCAGCAGTGACAAAGTGATGCCCCATCCCTGGCAGTGTTCAAGGCCAGGTTGGATGGGGCTTGGAGCAAGCTGCTCTAGTGAAAGGTGTCCCTGTCTGTGGCAGGAGGTTGGAACTGGATGAGCTTTAAGGTCCCTTCCAACCCAAACCATTCCATGATTCTATGAAAGCAAGTTAATTTTTCTTCAGGGAGCTTTTGTGAGCTCGGAGCTCCTGCCTGGGAAGGTTCTGTAACAGACAAAGATTCCTGTGTTTGTCATGGGGGTAAATTCCTTATTCTTGGACTTGATGCTCTAACTGACTGCTTATTGCTTCTCCCTCTACAGCAATTTACCTGGCAAAGAAGAACATTAAGAGGAAAGGTGTTCTAGAAGAATATGAAAAGGTGAGGACAAGTTGCACTTGTTCCATTGCAAGCTCCTCCGTTGCAATGAACGGAGCACAGCAAAAAATCACCTCCTCAGTCGCACGAGGGGTTTCTCCAGCAGTGCCAAAAGCCAAAATCTTGGAAGGGAAAACGTCACCGGCACAGGAAAACACTCTGAATCGATAGTGATTGCATCAGGGTAATGGCTCTTTGCAGTGGTATTCCTGAACTGTTGCAACGCATGTAATTCCATTCAGAACAATCCGGATTTCTTGGCTCAGCCGCCAGCCTGGCCTAGCTGAGCGATGGAGTCAAGAAAATCCCTCCATGGAGCTCCTGGTGCACAATTATCACACTCACTGCTGCTTTGTTTTTATTCCAGGAACATTACAACATGCTCAACCAGAAAATAAACTACAAGTGGGATTTTGTCATCATGCAGGCCAAGGAGCAGTATAAGTGAGTTGACTTGGGTTCCCTTGTTTGCATCACTGGGGAGGGTGTGAGGCAGCAGAGCTTCCCTGTCTCAGTACACAGATAAATTGCAGTCTGAAAGCATCAACTGCAGCTTTAAAACAACCTGCAAGTGCCCCTCAGGACTGTAAAATAAACCTGCCTTTATGTCAGCCTGGGGTTCCTTGTGTAACATAGAAGCTTTATTCACCTCACACTCTGTGAGTGAAGAACTGGGTGCCCACTTGCAAAGCTTTATTCTCTGCACCCCTGTTTCTCTCCCTGCCCACCAAAGCCATGGAATCAATGTGGTTGTGAGAGCATGGGCAGAGGTGGGTCCTTCCCTGTGACACATGCTTGTGCCTCTTTGCAAATGGCTTTTGCAAGTGTGCAAGGGGAGTTTTAGACTTTGCATCTAATGTGAAGAAGCCAGGGTCTGATGCTGCAGCGTTTGAGCCCTTGCTAGAGACGGCTTCTTTTAGCTTGGGGCTGTCCCTGAGCATGTGTGAATCAGGCCACTGGGCTCAGGAGCTGTTCCTGGTTCAGTCATTGCTTGCATGTCACAGCTGAAGTGAATGGCCTGAACCAAGAAGCAGTGAACGTTCCCAGCAGGGATTTATGGAGAAGACTCTGATGCAGACTTGGGTACCAGCCAAAATGACTTGATTTTAGAAGCTGAATCCTTCGCATTCCCGGCAGAGTCAGTGAACATGGGACGGGGATTACTCCTTTGGAGACAGCACCTTTCCTACTGCTGTAGGCTCCTTTTACCTTGTTTTACCTCCCTGCATGGCAGCGCTGCCTCTGCTGCTCAGCACTGTTTCTGCTGGGATGGGAGCCAAGTCCTCCGAATACAGCTCATCAGATAGCTGTCTCATTAGACACCAAACTGTTGTTCTTGTAAACTGAGGTCAGGCTCGGGCTAAGAGATGCCAAATGCACTTTTAAAGTTAGATACTGACACTGAACAGGCAGAGGAAACATGTCTGAGGCTGTTGGATGGTGATGCTGGGGCAGACTGATGCAGAGCAGCCTGAATCCACCCTGCTAACCACAGCGGGCTGGCCACATGCAAACAGCCTTTTGGGAATCCTCCTTTGCCCATGCGAAATCCCAAATCATGCCCAGGACTTTTCTGGGAAAGAATTAGTTGGTGCAAACCCAAACCATGCTTAGTGCCTCTTGTGTTTAATAGAGGAGGTGATTTGGGTTTTAGTGCCTGGGAACACTGCTTAGTACCATTTCCAAATAATTCCTATGAGAAATGGCCCCCTTTACAGGGATGAGACATGCCTGGGATGCATCCCTGCATGGCAGCCATCAGATACTGCCCAGGGACATCGGGCATGGATAAACATGAGGCAGCAAGGCTGACCGCAAGTAGCAGGTTGTTAGCATAAGGCTACCAAAGGGCTGTCTGTTTAATCCAAAGAGGATGTGTGGGCTCCCAGCTGAGCTCAGCAAGATGATGGCTTCCCAAAAGCTGTAGTCATGTGTGGCCGTGTGAGCAGCATGATCTGCACTCCAGAATGAGCTGGGGTAGGAGGTGCTCAGGAGGCTGCATCGTAGCATTGCGTAGTCAGGGGAGGGCAGGGGACAGTGGAGGTTTTGCTCCTTTCTCATCCCACTCATTTTAAGAGATCAAAATCAATGCATTCCTATAGAGTAAATCCTGTTCTTGGCTTTGCAGGGCAGGGAAGGAGCGGAAGAAGGTGGACAGATACGCCCTGGACTGTCAGGAGAGAGCCTACTGGCTTGTGAACCGAACTCCTGTAAGTAGAGCGTGATGGTGCTTTGGTGCCTTGCTGATTCCCTCCTGCAGCCACTGGGGACAAGCTAAGGGTATGGCCATGGGTTCAGCCCAGGCCTGCCCGAGTCCACGCCCCCTTCCTCCTTGCTTGCTCTCTAAGGTGCAGCTCCAGGAGGGGAGCATTCCCAGATTCAGGGTGCAGAGCCCCTCCACGGACACTGCTAGTGGCCAGGAGCTGTTGTCAGCAGAGCCCTTTGGGGCTCAGGGGTCTCCTCATGCATTTGTGTCAACCACAGACCTCAACACAAATGACTTACAAAGCCATTGGTGTTCTCATCCACAACAGCCCGGCATGCTGGATGTCCTGGAGTATGGATTAGACCGTGTGACAGATCCCAATGAAAACAAGGTAAACCAGGTGAGGCAAGACTTTGGTTTTCACACCTATGGACTTGGCAGGACCCAGACAGCATCCCTGTGATTGTGTTTTTGGGCCCTGCAGGCTGGGTGAGTCAGCTCTGCTGTAACAGCCCAACAGGCCAGAGGTTGGAGCCGTCTCATTGTCCAGGGTGTGGGGCCCTCAAAATAGGCTTTGGCAGCTCCCTTAGGCTTGAAAATACTTTGTCAGCTCTCTTGCCACACCACTTGGTGTGAGAGCTTAGCTACGGGATGTGTTTTCTGTGCTGCTGAAACTGAATTCAGGAACCCTCTGTCTCCAGGTGCTCGTGGCTGCCTCTTTATTAGTGCTGGATGAGCTGTGTGGGGTGTAAAGGATCAGTGAGAAGATCAGGTTTAAATAAAGGGACAGAATACCTCCAGAAAGGGTGATGAGTGCAAGAAAGATGGAGAAGTTGGGGTGGTGGGTAGGAGACACAGACACTGCCTAAAAATGCATATTGTTTAGTGAGAGCACAAACAGGATTGATGAACTGACGCTGTAACTGGTTCAGAGTCCCCAACAAGACACATGCAGGCGGTGGATGAGGAGCTGGAGCTGCTCTTCTCTTTCTCCATCAGTCCTCTTAAGTGATCCCGTATTTGTGCCCTTAATGGTGTTCATTTGGCAGCGCAGTCAAAGCCTCTCTCAGCAATGAAATGCAAATGTGGCTCTGATCACACTCACTGGATTCCCACAACTCATTTTCCTAACAGCCTTTAAACATCCCAGCAGCCAGAGGCAGGGTAATTGCTTTGGCCAAGTGTGTCCTGTTGCTATAGAGACTGGAAATGAGCAAAGTGTAGGCTTGGGGTGGATTTTGTTTTTCCTCACTATAAGTAGCGGCTGCTGAAAGCCCTTTATTTGTCAGAGGAAAGGAGTGGTGGGAAGGGAGAGGGATGCAGCAGGAGCAGCCAGCGTCTCGCCCACAGTTCTGCAGCTCACACGGAAGGAGGGTTTAGGTTTGCAAACGGTCTGAGAGCTCCAAGCCAGCTGCTTGGTGGCACAGGGGAAGTGAGCTGAGGGATGTCTGTGCTGTTCCCACCCTGCATGTGAATCAGTTCCTTCTGTCAATAGAGACTCCAAGAAGAGCATGAGCCAAGCAACAAGTGACAGGACAAGAGGAAACGGCCTCAAGCTGCACCAGGGCAGGTTTAGATGGAGCTGAGGAACAATTCCTGCCCCAGAGGGTGCTCAGGCATTGGAACAGGGCAGGGCTGCAGTCACCGTCCCTGCAAGTGTTCACACACAGTGGAGACGAGGCCTCAGTGCCATTTGGTAGTGGTGGCCTTGGCAGTGGTGGGGAACAGTTGGACTGGATGAGCTTAAAGGGCTTTTCCGACCTGGTTGATTCCATAATTCAAAGGACACAGGCTCAGGAAGACTTCACTGCCTTTCAGCTGGTCTCTGAGCAGAATGGGGAAGTTTCTAGTTTCTTCTTGCTCATCTTTCTGCTTTTGAAAGAGCAACTGCCATACACAAGGCAGCCAGAAGCTCACATAGAGACAGCTTTGGACCAGCTGCTCTCACAAACCCCTGTGGCTCAACAGCCTTTGGGGAGCAGAGGGGACAGCCCAAGCTCCTCGGGTAGATGCTGAGCTGCACTGTGCCATGCTGGCCATGTTTTACCCCTGCTGAAGGCAGTGCAGAGTTTATTGATGTTTCCTGTGGACCCTGTCGCTGGCTCTGCCATAGGTGAAAAGATGAGAGCATAAAGTGCATGAATCCATTTGATTTGAGTCTCTGTTCCTGCTCAATCCAGCTTCATTTTGTTGGCCAATTAATTGTGTTCTATCTTGGCAGCTGAGAAAGAAAGAATTCCTGGTGATAATGAATTCCTGACATCAGAATGACTTCTGTGAAGCTGCTATTGGCATGAGCATCTCCTTCACTTGCCTCAGACCCTTTGGTGGGCTGCTCCCTCCCTAATTGATAGAATCCTCTGGGGATAAACAGGCACTCACACTCTTTTGAAGGGGCTCTTTTCACTGACCCATGGGCATCCCTCGTGGTTATAATGAGTTAGGAGCTGTAGTTGGGCAGGAGGAGTAAGGCAGAAGTAGCCGGCCATGGAACAGGTAATTAAGGGATGCTTTAGCCTTTCGTTACCCAGGTCTCAGGCTCATGATCGAGCCTCACTGCTTAGAGAGTTACCAGGCAACTGCCAGAGCCCACTGACTCGCCTGCAGGTACACACTCAGCTTGTGCTGCCTTCTGAGCCTGTGTGGAAGGTGCTTTGGCTTAGCCAAAAATCACTGCGCTGGATTCAGGGATGGCTGAATGAAATTGGCTTACTGTAATGCACTAAATGAGGCACAGAGCATCATAGTCATTGCTGGCCTTCCATTTCATTAGTTCCTGTCCATTTGGCTGCCTGGTAAATGCGTCACTTCGGCTGCATGCATTGCATCTTTTCAGATGGCAGGGTCAGAAGCACAGAAACAGGACAGGGGAAACCCAGGAATTTGGATGAACCTGGGCACATGGACTGTTACAGGTTTAGTTCCAGCTGTTGGGCTGGAAGCACCAGCACAGTGGAGATGCATCTTGAGATGATCTTATGCTAGACTTGGAATTTACCTCTGGCCTGCTGGGCTCTCAGCTGACTGCATGTAGGGAAAGGTCCATGTCTGTGTGTGCAGCATCAGAGCTGTGTGCATGGAGTGCAGGTGTGATTTGCAGTGCCCTGGTCCAAAACAAGCTCTGGAGAACATTGACCTGTGCTTGCTCTTCACTCCATCTGGGCACACACACAGAAGCTGTTCAGCTGCTCGTGGCCTCTGTAAGCACTGAACTGGCCAGACAATGCCAAACCAGATGACCATTGTCTCCACAATGTGTTCAGGAGGACCCACACTGAGAGCAGAGGAGTGAATGGTTAGCTGGAAATCAGCAGATATCCAAGCTCTCATGGCTTCATCCATGTGGATCAGCTCCAGACATGGAGCTCTGGTGCAGGTCCTGGCTGGCTCCCAGCTGAACTCTGCAGCCCTGTGTGCATAGGGAATACTCAGCTGATGGCAGTGGGGTGCGATGGGGCTGTGCAGGGTGTCCCAGTGCTGCTGTGTGTTCAGGAGGAGGGTGTTTAACAGCACCCAGCGCTCACCCCACACAGACCGAGGCCTTTCACTAATTGCCATTTGATTTGCAGCCTGCAGGGCTGGGAGCTCATCCGTGGTAATTGCAACAAGTCACTTGCTCAGGGCATTGCAACATTCATCTCATCATAAGGAATTGCTCCTTTGTTCCTAATGTGATTTCTGTCCAAATGAAGGAGGGTGGCACAGGGCTCTTGGGCATTGCTGCTGTCAGTGGCATGGAGAAGGATGGTGATGATGGGGACACCTGGCAGTGTTCAACAGGACACGGGGAGGCTTCAGGGACCCTTGTACCAGCAACAAAGCTGGAAACTGGTCATGGGAACGCTGCGGGATAAAGGGAAATGAACTGTGTGCAGCTCCAGGGTGAAATTGCTGAGATGCTTCCCAGTTACTGTGGATTTGGGAGCTGGAAAGGGCTGAGCAGCCAGTACCTGCAGCCTCTAATCCCCTCCCACCCTGGAGCCCAAAGCCCCCTGGTTTCCCAGGACCAGCTATCCGGAGGGCTGACTTTACACTGAGGCTGTGGCAGGAGGGGATCCTTGGTGTAGGATGTGCTTAAAATAAGTAATCTCTCCTTGTTTGCAGACATGGCATTAGCTTTGATTTTAAGTTACCCACATATAATTTCCATGTTGTGATGGCATTTTAATTCATGCCTTTCTTGCTCTATGTAACATTTAACTTCCTGTGTTCTCTTTCTCTTTCCCACCAGCTGTTTGTCTCGTGTGTGTGTGGTGTGCTGCCTGCCTCTGAGGCCCCTGTAGAAGATAACACAACTTTACTACCATGAGAGCTGCCTTCAAGCCACTATTCCAGCATCCACCTTTCCTCACCCCTCTGCACCAGGCCTGTCCGAGGCTCCACTTCAAAATACACCATCTGATGATGTTAATGTGTTGATTTTCCTAAAGTACATGCCCTACTGACACTGAAGTTCCATCAAATGGGACAGTTCAGCTGTAAATCTGATAGGGCCTGGTTCATCTCTTGGGTTCCCCAAGGAGACAGTGAGCTCCTATTGTGCAGGAAATAGCTGGCCTGAAACAGAAACTTAAGTTCTCTAAAGAGGACACTTGTAGGGCAGTAAATGCAGTGAATTTCTCTGCACAGGCAGGTGTTTTTTGGTCTGTTTTGGTTTTTTTTTCCTTCCATTTCTACATCCATCTGAAACAATGCTGATGCTTTTGAAATGGGGGGAAGAAATAGTGTCTGTGTGTAAGCTGGCCTTAGCAGGGGTGCAGCTAAGAGCAGAGAAGGGTGAAAAGCTGTTCCTTAGTCCATGTGTCTTCCCAGGACCCTCTGAACCAGCAAGGAAGGCTGTTCAGCCTTGTGTCCAGAGATCATGTGGGCCTTTTATCCCCCTTGATGTGTCAGCCCTTACCTTCTCACACAGTTCTTGTGTGTGGCTAGCAGAGCATCACTGCTGCTGCAGGTACTGTTTGTCCCTGCTGGGGCTGTGTGCACTGCAGTCATTCAGAGCTGGTCATGCTATTCCCAGCAGACGAAGCTTCCTGTCCTTGCAGTGCCACAGCGAGGATTTCTGTCAGCACTACAGTGGCCAGGCTGGGTTTGTGTTGGGATGGGATGTGCTGGCTTCATGGTAGTGCTGTACAGATTTGATCTGCTGCATATCTGCCTCCTGCTGCTGCAATGGTGAGTGTGCCTTCCCAAACCAGCTGGGCTTCAGCAAAACGTGCAGGTTGTTCTTCCACAGAAGGGTTTCTCCCTCCTGAGCAGGACTGGTGACAATGGTTAAATACAGAAGCGGTGTCCCCATGAAGGTCCCCTCACAGCAGCCCTGGGAGAGTCTTACCTTTCCCAAAGTAGGGGCAGCTCAGGGTGCAGGTTCTCTGGTGTGGAGAAGGGAGAAGCAGGCAGCCTGTGGCATTCAATACCTCATGCTTCATCCCTCATCACTCACAAACTGCCCCTCACCAGGGCTCTCTGTAAACGCATGTCTGCCGCAGGAATAGCTTGATAGAATAATGCTGGGATGCAGCTCTTGCTGGCTAGAACAGGAGATGAAGAACTGAAACACTGTAAGCCTTTAAAGGCTTGCTGGGAGCATCCCTGGCTTCGCCTGTCTTTCCTTCTGCCTCCCACAAAGTAACAGTGCTTCAAAGGCAGCTGTGTGCATAAACACCGTGCAGTTAATTTCTTGCCTTCAATTGCTTGCTCATTTGCGGATGACATGTAACACAGTCTGAGTTATTCACATCACAACGTAAACACCCTCTGCACAGCGCATAGTGCTTCTGAGGCTTTTAATTGTGCTGTTTATATTTTGCAATGTGTTGGTTCCTGTCTCCTTTAGCTAATATTGAATGATCTAATCTGTGTCTCATAAATGCATCTCTTTTAGCTCCATTAGAATAACCCCATAATTGAAGGCATGCAGGCAGCAATGGAAGCAGCAATGCTGAACAGTAAATACAGCTGATGGAGTGATTTACGGTGTGTGGATGCTCTTAGCTTTGATGAGACCCTGATTAGCTGAGCTGCTGCCTTGGAGTTTAATTGTAATGAGAATTAATTGGAGAGCACAGAGCAATGCAACAGTGGCTTCGTGTCTGAAAACAGGGAGGTGGAGGCACCCATCCCAACTGAATGGTTTTTGTTTCTTTTGCAGAAAAAAACCCTGGCTGTCTATAGGAGAGAGGTGAGTTTTCCTCCTTTCACTTGTCGGTGCTCATCTCACATCAGTGGTGCAAGAGGGTCCCTATCAGGATGTTTCCTGCCTCTGCACCTCCCACTGCAGGCAGTGATGGGAAGGCTCAGCCAAGGACAGACATCAGGGCTCAAACCCAATCGATCACAGTTAGTGGTGGGGCAGTCTTAGGAGATGTATCCAGTGGCGCCAGCACAGAGACAGCCAAGGATCAATGGTAATTACATGCTAAATCATCCAGAGCCATTGTAGGTGCCTGGAATAGTAGCTATTATCCAATTTTCATATAGCATGGGGAGTGCTTTTTAATTACTTGCACATTGCAAAATGCTTTTCTGACATTTGCGATGAGCTCAATGAAAACAGCCATTTTACTGAGATAGTTTAGGGATTCCCTGATTCCTTGGTTGTCCAGTAATTAGGGAAGGAGCAGTTCCCGTTGTAGTTAGCCTCACTACATGGGAGAGGGCATGGTTGAGGTTCAGATAGAGACAGCCTTGTCTTCACATCTCCATGCTCCTAACCATGGATGTGTCTGATCTCTCTCAGATCATGTACTATCAGCAGGCCATCATGAAGACCAGAGTGAAATCTTCCGTCTCTCTTGGAGGGTAAGTCCTGATTTCCCTCTGTCCACACATTAATTAGTCTGCAGCACTTATCTCCTAATGAGAAGATGAAGCTGCCTGGTGACTCAGGCAGGGGAGTCCATGTGGTGGCCTCACACAGTGTTGTTTGTGCTGTCTGGGCTGTGTTGCCTGCGCCAGGAGGCACAAGGAGAGGAGGGACCAGTCCCAGACAGGATGAAGAGGCTCCCTTGGAGCTAAGGAGAGCTTTGCTGGGAATGTCTGCAGAGCAGCAGCAGCCTCTCAGTTGAGATTCTCTCTGAATCAAGAGAGGTTCACGCTGGTTGGGGCTGGGTCATGCTTGGGACCTCTGCAGTGTGGAAAGGCAGCTGTGTGGAGGCTGCCCTGGGAGGATGCAGGGTGAGTAACCAGCAGGGACACACTGACCCTCCTGTCCCTGGTCCCCAGCCCTCTGGATTCAGTCCCAGTGAGTGTTATGGCTCACATGGTGATGCTCACCAGAAGACAACAAAGCTGGGGATGGTTATTCTGTATTATGAAGGAACCTACGCTTCTGCATGAACATCCAAGCAATGAACTGGCAGTCCCTGTTCTCAGTGTCTCCAGTCTTTCCTGATCAGGCTCTTGATGAAGCCAATGAAGTGCAAAGTGCCATTTGCCACAGGGTGTTTGCTACAGGCATTTCTTATCTGCAGGCCTTACATGCTGGCCAGTTGCCCAGAGGTACAATCTGTGCACCAGTCTGGTTTACACTGTCATTGCCACCCACAGGCTCATATAGAATCTAAGATAAACGGGGAGCTCAGGCCTGTTCCCTGGGAGCAGATAGTCATGGATGGATGAAATGGGAGGAAGTCTGGGAAGCAGCGCTGCCTTCTGAGAAGCACAACTTGTCAGGCACCAGCATTTTGTCTGTCACTGCCTCCCAGCTCACTTCAAACTCTCCTGCCTCAATTTTCCAAGCTGTGAGCTGGAGCAGGGAATGCCTGGCTGCCTTCCAGGAAGTTTATGATCCTTGACTGTTTGGCAATGGAGCTTTTCACTTATTAGCTCTAGTCCTCTGATGGGATAACGCCTATCACCTACATCAAACAATCCTCAGGAAATCTGGGTCTCCAGCTCAGCTGCAGGATTGGGTCCAAATCAAATTGTTATTGATGAGAATAGGAGCATCAATGTGCACACATCAGGGCACTGCATTGACTGAGGAGGAGCTGCAAAGCACTCATCATTAAAAGGACAGGGCAATGTTACCTGTGTTGACAGGTTTAGATTTATAGCCTGATTAGCATGTATGGATTAGAGGGACTTATGCAGCTGCTGAATGCCTTGGCATTTCCAGTGAGAAGATAGGATCGAGCAGGTCTGCGCCAAACCTGTGGTGTGCTTTGTGCAGCAGCACTGTATAATGCAGGATGGATGCCAAGGTGCCTGTTAGCAGCGGGCCCTTGGACAGTGCACTCCAGCTTTGAGCACATGAAAGCAGTTTGGCCTGGAAGGAATTTTAAATGCAGAAACCAGATGAGTTTTTCAAGAGTGAAGAAAGGAGAAAGCTGAAATCCCAGCACATCAGGGAAATGGGCTGTAATTACAAGTCTGGCCAACTTCGAAGGTAGGAGAAGTGTTTGTCTGCATCCTGCTGGGACAGAGACATTTCTGCTTTGTGCCAAGCCCTCAGAGTCGTTTTGCAGCGAATGAGCTGTGCTGTAGGTGAGCAGAAGAAAGAGAAGCTGGGATTTGCCCTCAGCATTCACTCACCGATCCTGGGGCTCCCATGGCTGCAGAGAACCCACCTGAGCAAATCCAGTGCTTGCTCTCCTCTTGTGTGGCACTTCCCTCTCTGATGTGTGGCACAGGATCTTCAGATACCTCTGAAGGTGTCTATTCATTTGGTTGTGATGGGGCTGGCTGCACTTCTGCCTCCAAATGAACACTTGTTTTGTTGGGTTTACTTGCAGGCTTGTGAAGTACTCGGAGCAGTTCCTCTCCAATGATCCCATCCTGTCTGGGTGTCTCCCCAGCAACCCCTGGATAACAGATGACCCTGAGTTCTGGGACCTCAATGCAAAGCTGTAGGTATTGGTATTCTTTTGCCAGGTTTACATGGACCACTATGCTGAGGGGAACCACTGATTGCATCATGATACCTGGTCTCTGATCATGAGCAGGGGAGCATTCCTTTTCTGACCTTTTGGCAATGATAAAGCCAGCTCTTGGGAATACTCGATGCTGAACTTTGAGCATTACCTTCTTCAAGTGGAGTCTTCCTTAACATTACAGATGGAAGTATGCACTCAGCCCCTGCTGAGGGTCTTATCCTCCTTTTGGATGAGCACAGTTCACTTTTACCAGCACAGGAATGGAATAAGACCAGTCACACACAAGGTGTAGCACTTGGCTTAGTATTAAGTGCTAAATGAGGTGCTGCCAATGGTGCAGCAATTCAGGGTTCAACTGCTGGGCCTTGGTCTTTGCACACACCTCAGGCTGCTTCTTAGGAGAGAGTTGGAGGCACATCCTGGCAGTCCATCCCCTCTCTGAGGTCTCCCTTGGTTTTCTCTTCAGATAATATTTGCTAATGAGAGATTGGCATCTCTGGGCTGGAAGCATAGAACATGTTATGGTTCTCATTTGAGCCCAGCAATCCTGTTAGAGTGATAATATCCCATTAGACAGCCCCAAAGGATAGCTTCACAGAATGCCTTTGTGAGAAGCAAAGCTTTGGGCAACAACCAGTGCCTCTTCCAGAATGGGGCTGAATCAGACCTCCGGCAAAGCTGGGATGTCACTGGGAGAGCAGCATAAGCCCAAGTTAAATCCTCATCCCACTGTGTACCAAGTTATTTAATTACAGCTTACTTAGTGGCCTGACTTCGGGAGCTCATTACAGCATTCAGAGAGTGCTGCGAAGTCCCTTGGCATGCCAGCAAAGGGCACTTTGGTTTTAATTAATCTGCCAGTTAGCTGGGATGCATGAACCTGGCAGTGCTGTTTGTTTGCAGGGTGGAAATCCCCACCAGGATGCGTGTGGAGCGATGGGCCTTCAATTTCAGTGAGCTGATACGGGACCCCAAAGGTCGGCAGAACTTCCAGCTCTTCCTGAAGAAGGAATTCAGCGGTGGGTCTGCAGTGTCCCTGTCCCCGTCCCCACGCAGCTGAGACAGAGCAGTGCAGTGGGTGCTGTGAGTGGAGACAAGCGCAAAGTCACAAGTAAAAGCAGTCAAGTGCCTTCGGAGGCGCTGGCTGTGCAGCCAGTGCGTGCAATACCATCTAGTGGCACAGGACACAAAGTACAGCCCTATGCAGGGGGCTGCTCCCAGGCTGGAACTGGCTGAATTCACAAGCACTGGAGCAGGGGAAAAGAGGTTTTCCTCCTTCAGTCCCAAGGGGGTTTTCAAGGTGGCTGTGAGAATTGGAGGGACTGAACTGAGGCCAACACATATTGAGTCAAGCGTTCAGTTTAGGAGTTGACAAATGGGATTGATTGTGTTTGCCTCAGTCTCGCTCTCTGCTGAATGCGTCCTTGTCACGCAGGAGAGAATCTGGGTTTCTGGGAAGCCTGTGAGGATCTCAAGTACGGAGACCAATCCAAGGTCAAAGAGAAAGCAGAAGAGATTTACAAGTGAGTGTGATAATTTTGCATTCTTAAACTCCTTGTAGCTGAGCCCCATCCCCTTCTTCCACACCCTGTCATCCTCCAAATGGCTTATTCCTGGGACTTTTCTGTGTAAGCTGTCATCAGATGTGGCTGTCCTATGTCCCCACGGAGGAAAGGAGCTGTTGAAGATGAAAGCATAAGTGTTGTGTTGTTCAATAGTTACTTTTCCTCTGTTCTCCACTATTGCATTTAAGTCTTAGCATGTAATTTGAACAGAGGTGTGGAACAGTAAAGATCTCAGGGCTTCCAGACCCTTTTTGCTTCTAGTGAACTGAAAGTTCGTTCATGTTGCGTGTTAACAGTGCAAGAGGAAGTGACTCCTCAATCAGGAGATTGACTGTCCAAGATCAGGACAGCAAACTGCAGTGGGCAGCTGAAGGGACTTCTCCTTTCCTGCATAGACAGAGCAATCTCCAGGCATTCTCCAGCTGTTAATGGCACTGCTGATTCTCCTCCTTGCAGGCTCTTCCTGGCTCCAGGAGCAAGGCGCTGGATTAACATTGATGGCACAACAATGGGCATCACTGTCAAAGGCCTCAAGCACCCTCATCGTTATGTTTTAGATGCTGCTCAGACCCACATTTACATGCTGATGAAAAAGGTTTGTTACTTGTTTTCAAAGCCTTGGGGGGATTCCAGTATCCTGGGCCTTTCCATGCCTTTGTGTGCTATAAATTGTCACTTTCAAGTGGCCTTTGTTGGAAAATCCCTTAAATTTGCTGACTGAAGGAAGCACTGGTTCAGGCCTTTGTATTTAGGTGCTGCTGCTTCCCTCTAAGGCAGTGTGTCCCCAGGGTGGTGGACATCAGTTGTCTGCTGAAGTCCAGCTTTCTAATACCAGCTTGGTACCAGTTCATTCAAAGCCTGAACAAATCTTTCAGCTTCACTCAGTTAGTACACTTTGTGTACCTCTGTACACAGCAGGTATCCCTATGGTGGATGTTTGTGTCCAACTGGATTTCAGCAGTGGATGGGAAAAGTAGTAGCAATTGTGATATAAGTGCGTGAGTTTTGTACCAAGAGCATAACCAGACACCACTGGCCTGGGCTAAGCTCAGTTCAGACCTTTTGGTCTGGCTCTTACCTGGGAAGCTGTACTGTGAGATGGAAAATCCTGGGAATTTTATACCCAGATGAAAGGGTATTGGTTTAAACAGCTACATTTGCCTGAAAGATGCAAAGTCCCTTTGGCTGCTGGGGGAGATGATCCAGTTCCCAGCCTTCCTGGCTCCTGAGCAGCTGTATTTGGTGGTGATCTTAATAAGGGTGTTTGCAGCCCATAACTACCACTTTGTCTCTTTGTCTCCTAGTAGGACTCCTATGGCCGCTATTTAAAGTCTCCAGTATACAAGGAAATGCTGGCCAAGGCTCTTGTGCCACAACAGACTGTCAAAAAAAGGCAAGTGAAATGGGATGTAATTGTGGGGTTTTGATTTTCTTGTTGTAGCAAGGGTAGAAAAAGCCTGAGTTGCAGCAAAATTACTGTGATTTAGATGTTTGCTTAATTAAATAAGATTTTTCACTAAGAAGATGCCTTGCTTTGAGAGGGATGATGCTGTTTGTGAGCCCTTTGGAAGTGGCTTGTGTGCAGCCAGAAATGACATGGTGGTTGCTTGGCTGCTTTGTGTATTGGGTCTGTTTGGAAAGGTTGCAATGGTTGAATTGATCATGGCTCCTTTCCTGGATGGAAGGAGAGAGCACTGTGTGCTGGGCATGGGAAAACTCCCACCCATGAGGCATTGACTACCTCAGGAGACACAGGTCCAGCGCAGGGTCCTCCATGGGATCTGCTCAGCTCTGTCTGGACAAATCCCTTGTGAAGCAGAGGTGACAGGCAGCCACAAAGGGACAGACAGCATCTTACTTGTGAGTTACTATTGGCATGAGGTAGGTGGCCATAAAAGAGGCTTGAAATGGCTTTTTCCCCAATTAAAATGAAGGTCGTGTAGCAAATTTAGGCCATTTGAATTCCAGTCAATTCTTTAAGCTGAGCATGCGATGTCGGAGCCAGACTGGGCACTGTGCTGCTTTCTCTGTTCCTCTTCCACTCATCAACCTAACAAGTGCGAAAGAGGAATCATGGACTTCACACTATTGTTTCATCTAAAGCCCATTTTCAAGGCAGTGGAAGAACCCTTCTTGCTGACTTGCCTCGGGTTGGTTAGCTTTAACCTGAGCCACACATCACACCGTCACTGGTTGATCCTGGTGACTACCTTGGTATTGGTCAGTGCTTGCTCTGGACACTCAATACTCGGGATCCTGGCTCAGCTAAAGGTTATTAACAGGTTTCCACTGCTTCTGGTAATGGCTTTATTAAAGCAGTAGTGGGTGGGTTTTGGTGTATCACAGACACCAGCAACACCCAGACTGGTCCCTGTCTTGATCTTGAGGGCACTGGTTAAATTCCACTGATGGCAGTTGTTTGGCTTCCCACTGAGTGTTAGTTATGTGCAAACACAGTGAAAGGAGTAATGTACCAGCCACCTCCTGGCCCTCAGGTCACTGGGGAGGACCAGGACCAGGGCTGCTTTTGTGCTTTTAGCAGTTCTGTGGCTGATGAGTCCTTTAAACCACCTCACCCACATTTGCAGCTCTTTGTGGTTGTGTGGCTGACAGTGGCACATCCCTCTCTGGCTCTGAGCTCACCCTCCTGGTAAATTTGCTTACCGGGGGGAAGGTTTTGATGCCCTTCTTTTCAGTAACCTCCTGCTGCTTCTTCTCTGCCCAGCTCCCCTTTCCTGTTCGGGCGCCGCACCCTCCCCTCCAGCCCCAGCCCCATCATCCTGAGGCAGCGGGAGGAAGAGGCCAAAGCCAGAGAAGCCGCCACGACCGTGGACATCACGCAGGTCATGAGCAAGCTGGATCGCAGGAGCCAGCTCAAGGCAGATCCTCCCAAGTAGGCTCTGGGCAGGGCAGAGGGCAGGGAAAAGACGAGCCGAGGCTGGCGCTGAGCTTCGTCTCATCTTCCTGAAGGTGTCAGTGCTGCTTTAGGTTTCCCAACCCGGCTCTGCCAGCAGCCTGCTTCCTGCACGTTGCCATGGCTTCTGGAGCATCAGATGTCATTTCCCAGGCATGGCAGAGCCAGGCTGATGGCTGGGCTGGACTCGGGATGCAGGCACATCCCCGCACACCTCGAGGGGGAGATGCCTCTTGGCTGCCCTGAGCCCCCTCCCAGGTTGGGCAGCCCAGCTGCCTCTCCCTGTCTCCTGCTCCTGCAGGAGGTGGGATGGCACAAGGCAGGGTAAAGCTCTGCCATCCTAATCCTTTGGGTTCAGACCAGCCTTCCTGGGAGCAGAGGTGGATGAAGCCACACGGAGCAGGGTGAGGCAGCCCATGTCGGAGCTCATCTGTGCTGGTATCCATCCTCCCAGGGGTGCATCCTGGCACCCCCTGAGGAGAGTGCATCCCTTGCTTCCAGTATCCCACACCTTGTAGCCAGTGTAGTGGAGCCACAGGCAGAGGAGTGGGATAAACTTGTGAGAAGGGAGGGTGAGTGTTTCTGAGGGTTTAGTTGAGTTTCAGTGGCCCTCCCAGGTCCCCCCTGGCATGTTGGAAGTGATCACAGAAAGCTCAGCTCTCCCTGTGGCTCCCCACAGGATGAGCTCAGTGTGCAGGTACAGAGAGCCTGGGTCTGGCAAAAGGGCTCTCCACACCTCTGGAGGAGGGCTTGAGAGATACAGCATTGGCTTTGTGTTTCTGTTATCACATCCTTCTACTTCTCGTCTTGTCTTTTCCCTGCTCTTCTATTTTCCACTGTTAAGAAACCCTAACAGGAGGTAGTTCCAGTTGAACCAGGGTCGAGGTGTTAAGAGCTGATTTCAACTTTAAGTAGGGTTTTTTTTTTGCTCTGCCTCTTTTCCTCTTTAGAATGAGGCAACCTAAAATGCTACCTTAGTGCTAAAGAGCTTAGGGAGATTCCAGGCTTTACTGGGAAATCCCAGCCTGTCTGGACCAGGCCTGAATTACCAGAAGTGGGGAAGCTTCCTGCAAAGCTCAGTAAAGGGAATTGGGGCCATTAGAAAAGCTTCTAGGTTTGTTAGAATTTAAGGGAAGCAGAGGGACTGGGTTGGAAGCCCTGAGGAGCTCCTTTACTCCAGTTCATATTATTCATCTGTTTTTTACTACTGGTATGATTTTATAGGAAATGGGAGGTGGGGAAAGCTGGATGTGAGTGGGAGCCTTCAGGCACTGGGTGGTGCAGCCCAGCCCCTTGTGAACAGGGCTGCAGTGAGGTGACAGCTCAGCTTTGAACAGCCATTCCTCCCCTCCCCTATGCGTTATCAGAGGCAGAATCAGGGCTCCCTGCTCTGCTCTGGTGTCACTGCAGCACTGGTCTCCTCTCTGCAGCTGAGCTGGGGAGATTCTCATGACCTCCCTTAGCCTCACAGTGGTAAACCTTCTTAGAGGAATTGAAACCAAGTTGCATGAGTCTCTTTGCTCTGATGTCAAAGTCTGCTTGCTAAGTCTGCTCTTATTCCCACTGGAAGCAAGGGCAAATTGTGCAATGCTGGGAGGGTGAGCAGCTCAGGCAGGAATTCATGTTAAATTCTGCTTAAAGGCTGTTTACATCAGGTACTAAGCACCATCAACCTACCTTGACATAAGAGCACTGAAAGACACTCAAGGACTTGGTCCAAAGCTACTTGGATGTGATGATCTCTACACTCTTCAGTTTGTGTAACGGAGCACTGAGCACGTTGGGATTGCCAGTGTGTAGGAACATGTGGAAGATCAAGTCAGGGCATAAATAATAAATAACAAATCTGTGTGTTCCAGTCAGTCCCTCTGATTCTACTCCCATTTTTGTCTGCAGCTTCGCTTTTTATGTTCTCTCCATTCCTTTCTCTGATTTTTCATCATCTCAGCTTTGCATCGCTGTGGCCCTGACATGGGTTAATGCAGCGCGTTCAGCAGTCACTGCACTTGTGAAACACCAGCCCCACGCTGGCAGGCAGAACCTGGCTCTGTTCTGCTTACACAGCGAGGAAGCTGGCATGACCCAGCGTGCTCCTCATCCTCACTGCTCGGGCCTTGAAGAGGAAGGTTGCCTGGTACAAAGTGTGACCACGGGACAAACCCAACGTCACTGTGTGCCAGGCAAGAGGTTGGTTGTTTCCCCTGGCAGTCAGAGCAGTTGATTGTGCTGGTTCTTGGCCATCGCTTCCATGTGTTCATCTGTCTAATAAAAATAAATGTAGGAAATGAAAAAGGAACCAAGTTCTCATCCTCCTCTGTCTGGTCTCAGTGTGTTCGTCCCTCACTGTGTCACCTATCTCATGTGTGCCTCTGTTTTCTGTACCTGCCTCTTCTCTCAGCTCTTCTCTTTGGACACTTGAGCTGTATTGCAAGTCCTTGGGAAACATGGGCGAACCCTGTATGGGGCTTGTCCCGAGGGCTGAGCTAGCAGAGCTGGAGCCTTCACAGCACTGCTCTGGGACGCTGTGGGGTTCAGCACAGGATGTGGCTTCTTGTATTACCAGTCACCAGGGGCTGGAGCTCTGTGGCACGTTGGTGAGCTGGTTATGCTCTTCACAGCCAAGCTGGGGATAACGGAGTCTTCCACGCCTGGAGCTATCTGTTGTAAGGGATGAGACAAGCTGGTGTCTCTTGCAGCATCCAAGGTATGGAGCTGGAGCTATCACAGAATCATAGACTGGGTTGGGTTGGAAGGAACCTTAACGATCATTTAGCTCCAACTTCCCCGTTGGAGTTGGAGGCTGATGCTGGTAGCAATGACCCTGTTGATCTCCATGGGCAAATTGTGGCAGCTCTGGGTGCAGGAGGGCAGGGGAGGGGACATGGGATGGATCTGCAGGAGAAGGGGGGACACGGGCTCAGGTTTGCCTTGCCTTGCCTCCCAGCTGGGCCCTGTCTCCCCTGTCCGCACCAGCAGCACCCAGCCCTTCTCCAGAGGAGGAGCAGCAGCCGTGGGGCCGCCAGCCGCCCTGAGCCTGACCGAGCCTCTCTCCTCTTCCTCCCCACAGCCGCACCACCGTGCCTTCTGCTCCCCTCACACGGCCATCTACACCGGCACCAGCGCCCCGCCGTACCCCGCCAGCCGGCCCCATAGCCCGCAGGCCCTGCCCCACAGCACCACCTGCCCCTTGCTCAGCACCGCGGCCTCAGGCGGCGCTGAGGGGGCCGGCCCCAGCCCCGGCCCCTTCCCCTCAGGCGCAGGGAGGCCCCGTGCGGCCGCCATGGCCTTGGGCCGGTGGCTGAGGCGCGGCCGCTGGAGCTCCCCTGCCCTCACCGCGGTGTCACCCGCGGGCTCGGCTGTGCCCCACGGGAAGGTGCAGCCCTTGGGCGGGCGGGAGCGGCGGCTCCGGATGGACACCAGGGCCGTGAGCAGGTAAGGACCGCGCGGGCAGGTGGATCCCCTCAGGAGGGCATTGTCTCTGGCGCCATTTTGGTTTGGCATTAGCTGGGTTAAAGAGGTTAAAGTAGGATGTGCTGAGCCTGTGAAAGTGGGAATTGTGCTGCTTTGGATTGAGCTGAGCTCTTAGGCAGAAGCTCCTCCCTGTGAGGGTGCTGAGGCGCTGGCACAGGGTGCCCAGAGAAGCTGTGGCTGCCCCATCCCTGGCAGTGTTCAAGGCCAGGTTGGACACAGGGACTTGGAGCAAGCTGCTCTAGTGGAAGGTGTCCCTGCCTGTGGCAGGGGTTGGAGCTGGGTGAGCTTTAAGGTCCCTTTAACCCAAACCAGGCTGGGATCCACATTGCAGTCAGCTGTCACTGCCCATCTCGGCCTGCCCTGGGGCTCTGTGTGATGGCGGCTGCCAGGCCCGGGCTCCTGCTCTGCTCCTGCCTCACGTCAGGCAAGCAAGCCCTGGCCATGTCCCTCACTACGAGCACTGTGTCCTCACCCTGGTCTAACCCATTTCATTGTAAGTGGATGAGTCCACATTATCAATTCCAACACACAAATCTGAGGGCTCCTTCTCCACCTGGCTCTGTGCTCCGGCAGTGCCAGCGCTGTACCACGGAGCACTTTGTGTTCAGAGGGCGGTGAGTGCCCATTCCCTTCATTTTCCATGAGTGCCCAGGAGTTTTCCTGTGGGATTTGGGGTCTGAGCAGTGTAAAGCTCAAAGCCAGGCTCCGTGCTGCACGTTCACTGCCTCAGAGCGCATCAGCAGTGCCCTGTGCGTGATGAGTCTTCATTTCAAAACACAGCTTCTTCCAGGTAAGAACAGATGCGCCCTTAGAGAGCCACATCCACCCCATAGACTGCAAGCAGGGAGAGGACAAGCACGCCTGGGCTCGGAAGGGCTCTGTGAAGGAGGTGATCTGCCCTTGGGAGAGCCCCATGGAAGAGGGGAGAGCTGGGTGATGCACAGCCCAGACAGGGACACTCTTTCCAGGCCTGGGACCACAAGGTTTGCCAACTATGGCTCAGTATATGGGCCATGCCAACGAAGAAGTGCATTAAAGCCATCCCTCAGCATCAAGAAAGCTCAGACTACCACAGCTATGGATAACGGACCCTGGTGCACACAGCTGTAACTCAACAATGTGAAGCATTTCTGGACTGGTTTTCTTTCCTATCTGCTATATTCAGATCTATTAGTTACAAACCTCTTGATAAATGAACCTCATTTCTTGCCTTATAGCAGCTGGAGAATGTATGTATATCTATATCCTGGGAAACGCTGTCTTATCTGAGTTACTTGCTTGACCATGAGGTGTCAGCACACTGTACACAGAACAGCTGGAGCAAAGCTTGCAGGCATTCTTCAGGGGAGGACTCAGACTGCAGTGCCAAGATGGGGGCATGTTTGTGTCCCCAGCTTGGGTCCACCTCTTGTTATTAATAATGCTTTTGTAATCTCAAAGCAAATTCATTAAGAAGCAGCTGATTGCTGGGGAAATTACAGTGAAAGCAGCTGTGTACTGAATGGCATTCCTTAATGCAAACCAAAAACGATCCCAAAGAGCAAGCAGTGCAAGAGAGCAAAGGTTCCAGAGTGGTTCTGCATTAGCTCCAGCTTCCCTTCTGTGGCCTCTCAGTGCCAGGATGGGTTTTGGAGCCATTACCTGAACTCCTGGGAAAATCCAAACCAAATCCATGTTGGTGTTTTGGGCCTCTCCAATGCAGGTTGATGCAGTGCCAGTCTTTGCCTGTGTTGTTATCAAGACCGTTAGACCGCTGCTTTCCTTACGTCATGTCAGTGTTTGAAGATGGGTTTTTGTCTGAGCATGGAGGGGTTTCCTGTGTGTGATGTGAGTCATTATTCTGTAGATTCATGTGGCCTGTGACTTCTGGTGTTGCTGTTTGGTGCTTTCTAATTGTAAATGGATCTTTGCTTGTGTAGCTGATGTGGCTCATCACGCTGACTCCTGCTGTGGGACTTAAAGCCTCTCCTCACATATGGT